GCAGGCTGTGAGACGTGCTGGGAGGATGCTATGTGGGTGCAGCGTTGGGTGTGGGCAGGCAGCCAGGGCGATAACTGCCCTTCCACGAAGAGGGAAGCGCTCCTGCCTGCCTGCCAGAGATAGCAGGGAGACGTTGGCACTGGCTGGATTTTGTAAATCTCCCACCAGTCCTTGGGCTGACGAGGAAGGACAGACTGCGGCCCTGCCACCATCCTGACAGGCAACTCAAGCAGGGCTGGTGGCAGCCACCATCCGTGGCAGCAGCACCTGCCACCAGCCCTGGGCACACACCTGCAGTTCCCCGGCACTGCAAGGGGCTTCATCCCAGCAGGAACCCAGCAGAACACCTGCCAACACACGGCCTCATTTTGCCTGGCACACCATGCCCAGCCACGACTCTCGGAGCTGCCACGGCCCTGGTCCCCTCCAGCTCAGCACTGGTTTTAAGTGAGTTTAAAGTTTTCTGCAGGTCCAGAGCGCTCCTTGCACCCTGGCCCTGCAGGCTCAGTCCTTCTCCAGGCACACTGGCAGGAGGGAGTCACTGCCAGGCTCCAGAACTGGGAGGGACATCCAGGGCACATTCCTGGTGGGGGTCATTGTTGGGGTTTACACTGGGCTGGCTCCAAGCCTGTCAGCAATGGAGAGGAGCAGTTGCAAAGACACAGAGATAGGAAGCCCCCTATGTGCTGCAGCTGGCTGCTTTGCAGCAGTTTTGACAGCATTCCCTTTGCATGTGCTTCTCCGGCTAAATATAATTGCAAAACATACATTTACATGCAATTATCCATTTATGAAGTGCTAATAAGTCAAAGGAATTTACTTAGATGCAATCTGCTTGCCAGACCTTGTCCTCACAGGACCCAAGCACAAACACCCAAGATCAGTGCAATAGTCAGTGCAGCCAGCTCTAAGATACTAAATCATTCCCACATCTTCCCATTAACTCAGCTCCAGCCCATCAAATATTAAAGAGCCTCAAGCCTGGACACAGCTCTTTTCACAAAGATCGAGTCAATCTTTCATCTCCTCCCACCTTCATCCTCCTGCTCCCATCAGCAGAGGAGCATCACATGCTCTTTCATGTGAGTTCTGACTGCACACACACTGAGTCCCAGTAATTGCTGTACATGGCTCCTCCATTCCACAGAGACATGATTCTTTTGGTGCTATTTTTGCTTTATAAGGCGAGAAGAAGAGCTGACTCTGCCTGAAGGGAGGGCTTTTACTGAATTTTTTGTTTAACACTCTGTGGTTTCTCAGTGCACCCCATCAAAACCAATGAGCAAATAACCAGAGCACAAAGGCTGAGGAGCTGTCAGCAGGTGAAGGGCTGGTGAACCCCCCATGGGACATCACCCTACCAGTTTGTTCCACAGAGGAGGAGGAAGGGCCCCACAAGTCCCCATCCCACTTTTCCACCTCCAGCATCCCCAGTACAAGGACTCTACAAGGCCAAGGGGGCTCGAGGGTCTCTGCCTGCTTTCTTGGGGACTCCTGCACTTGCTGGGCTGCTATGAGAGGCGAGCACACCCACCTGGCTGGCTCACCTGGCCAGAACTGCTGTTTGACATGCAAAGATCCTGTGCAGGCTGACGTTTTCTCTGGGGTGACCTTCCCACCAGGGAAGCAGCTTAGCTGCCATCTGGCTCAGGTCTTCCCTTCCCGGCAGCACAACCTGACCTCAAGGACCCCGTGTTTGACTCGGACTGCAAGGAGCTGTGCCCCCAGGAGAACCAAGGGGACCCCAGGGACCTGGAGACACTTCCAGCTCCCTACAGAGACTTCATGTGACACAAGAAAACACCAACACCACGCCAAGGCTGGGGAGCTGCTTCTAGACACGATTCCCCTTTTGCCAGCCAAGGGGATTCAGCAGCTCCAAGTGCTTTCCCCTGAAGTGGGTAAGGAATCAAAAAATGTAACAGAAAAGTAGAGATCACAATGGAATTGGTCCAAACCAAACGCAGGGTCTGCAAATGCCAAATCCCATTTGCTGCCCAAGTGTCTCAGTCTCCATCCCACAGCTCCCTGAGGCCAGCCCAGTCCCAGGAGCTCTCAACAGCCCCAGCACCCAAGCACAGCAGCACCAGTGCCTGCTTCCACCCCTGGGGGCATGCACCCCTAAAAACAGTCAGCAGAGTATCCCCAAGTCCTCTCCCAGGCTCTTCATTCCCCAGAGACTGCCTTTGGGCAGGAGCATATCTCAGCTCCCAGAGCAGCCCCTGGCTCCCCATAGCAGCCAGAGGCTCAGCTTGCTTCCTCCTACCACAGGACAGTGCTCCAGAGCCAGGGCTGGCCCATGGCCAGGACACAGACCCGAGTGGTGGCACAGGGCACAGCAGCTCTGGCTGGGCGCCGATGCTCTCAGGTTCCTCCGCCTGGCAGGCACGGGCACGGCGCAGCTCCCGGGGGCAGAGCCAGACCCAAACTCCAGAGCTCCCGGGTGCTTCAGAGGCCGAGCTGCATGGCTGCAAGGCAGAGCTGCCGGGAATGCTCGAGCCCTGTACACCTTCCCTGCCCGCCTGCAGCCCTGGCACCTCTGCCTGTCACCAGCGGGGCCAGCTGAGCCCTGCCCGTGCTCCAGGGCCCTCCAGCATCACTTCTCCCGTGCTCCAGGGCCCTCCAGCACCACCTCTCCCGTGCTCCAGGGCCCTCCATCATCCCCTCTCCCGTGCTCCAGGGCTCTCCATCATCCCCTCTCCCGTGCTCCAGGGCCCTCCATCATCCCCTCTCCCGTGCTCCAGGGCCCTCCAGCATCACCTCTCCCGTGCTCCAGGGCCCTCCAGCATCACCTCTCCCGTGCTCCAGGGCTCTCCATCATCCCCTCTCCCATGCTCCAGGGCCCTCCAGCATCACCTCTCCCGCGCTCCAGGGCCCTCCAGCATCACCTCTCCCATGCTCCAGGGCTCTCCAGCATCACCTCTCCCGTGCTCCAGGGCCCTCCAGCATCACCTCTCCCAACACTCCCACACCGCAGTGCCTGCTCGTGCTCTCCAGTCCCTCAGACACATTCCCGGTTACCATAGGAACTAATGAAACCCGGACTGAAGAAGAGGGAGAGACAGGCCGAGGGAGAACCGCTGTGCTGGCCCAGTGCCGCCCGCGTGGGTGAGTTGGTCCTGCTGCCCCGCAGCACTCGCCGGCTCTGGCACCGAGCGCTGGGCCGCCCGCCCGGCTCTCCGCAGGTCAGTGCCGATGTCTGCAGCAGCACGAGGCTCCCTGAGGTGCTCCAGGCCCTGCAGAAAGCAGCTCATATTTTTGGAAATAACTTGTACAGGGGAAGAAAACTCCCGATGCCTGGTGCCTCTGTGCCACGGGTTAAACCAGGACACTCCGACACAGGCTGCAGCAATTACAAGAGGGCGCTAAAAACCCGAAAGTTTGGGTTTATAATGCTTTTATAATTTTAAAAGCTTTTACAAATACGAAATGTGGCTCTGACTGAGGCACAATTACAGAACCACTTCATGCAGCAGCCTACTCACAGACCAGAAGCACCACGGGCTTGGGAAGCACTAGTTGCAAACAGCAGTGATGTTCATCAAAAGCTCCAAGGAAACTCCCTCCTCTGGCCAGGGCAGGAAAGGTAGAGGTAGAGATGGAGAAACGTGGCCCCAGAGCCTCACCCTGCCCAGGCAGGAGCACGGCAGCGTGCCCAGCACGCTGGCACAGCACTCCAAGCACGGCATTAGCTGCCTGGCACGGTGGAGGCAGGAGGGTACAGGGGGTTTCTGCTGCAGAACTGCTGCAACAGCCTTCGGAAAAGATCAGGCCACAGTGTACAGCAGAGTGCAAAGAGCAGCTCAGTCTTTCTCAGCTTCATGGAAAAAGGAAAGTCTGCAGAGAACTCCCTCCACTCCCCAAAGTGGTAAGCATTGATTTAAACTTCTCATTAGTTCAGCACAACCTGAGCAATGAGCTACTGCTGCTGTAGCATTTACAACGGGCATTTGCCGGCTCGGCTCGTTCAGGCAGCAGCTCCCCCAGGCTTTCCGGATACTTTTCCATTAATGAATAATTTGCACAATGATTATAGAGGGAAACTGCATGAGCCATCACCCTATGCATTGCCTGGAGCCCAGGGGAGGCTTGCTCAGAGCATTTCTGTATCAGCACAGGGTCTAGCTGATAGCGCTGGAGCTGCATGTGTGTCAAAACATGGAACCTGACCCGGGGTTCCAGGAATCCAGGACCCAGAATCCAGCAGAGAGGAGGACAAAGCTGGTGGGAACAGGAAGCAGGTCCCAGACAGCCACGAGTGCTGGGGGAGCTGAGACCACTGGTGCCACTCCCAGACCTTCACCACCTTCTCTTCCCCATCAGCCGAGGACATAACCCAGCAGGGATGGTGACCTCACACACCTCACTCCATCACAGCACAGGACCTGGCCCAGCAACCACCTTGCCAGAGCTGCACAGCCCACACCACCCCGCAGTGTCAGGCAGTGTCCAGCAAGTGGCAAATCCAAGATGGACCCACCAAGAACACCGCCAGTCCACAGACCCTCCTGGACCGCAGCAGCATCTCCACCCCCTCCAGAGCAGTGCCCAGAGCCTCTCAGCCGGGTCACAGGCACTCACTGTTCCACTGACACTCACCACTTCTCCAGATTGAAAAACAAAACACAAAACCTCCAGACTTCACTGGATTTACACCCAGAAGCTCAGTGCCGGCCTGACCCACTGATTCCCACCCCCATTACCCCCAAGGCAGAGCTGGTGCCCTGTGGGTTGCCCCATGCCCACCTCAGCCCGCTGATCTCACGGTGATCGTGTCACCGTGTTTGCTGTCATCTCCCAGTGCCTGATTCACTTCAGGCTTCCAGGAGAACAGACTGTGGGACACGCACAAACACATGTCCTGGAGTGGGCGGACATGGCTGGACTCCACTGCACCAGCTGGAGCCCAGCTCCCAGGAAAGCATCCTCCACACACCGAGCCAGCTCCCAGCACCACGCACCCCACGGGAAATCACATGAGAGAAGAGCCAGGTACTCACTTGATCTTCAGGCTGGCCAGCATTTTCTTGTCGATCCTGAGGAGAGAGCAGAGGAGGGTGTTACTGCAGGCACAGGGGCTCCAGATGTAGCTGGGAGGGGTGTGGGTACTGGGGGCTGCTGCCAAACACGACCAAGCTCGTGCACTGCGGGTGCCAGCGCTCCAGCTGACACGACGATCACCACAGATTTCATCGGAAAACAAAACCAACCAAGATTTAACCCAAAATGAAGTCTGGCAGCAAGCAAGAAAATATCTCCCTAGGTCTTTCCTGGTGCAGAACTGCTGGTGCAGAATGCCAGAGGTGAGCTGGGAAGCAGAGAAGGGCACCACCTGTGTCCCAGCTCTCTCCAAAGCACAGCTGTCACAAACCAAGTATTTACAAATAATGGGGCTGCACAGCCCTGAGGTGCTGGGAAGATCCCCCCAAACCCCACATATTGCAACCCAGCCCCAGGCAGACAAAACACAGAGCAGCCCCTTCGCTCCCAGCCCTGGCTGGCACATGTGGGACCAGCAGCCCCAGTTGTTTCACTCATTCTGGCACTGGTAATGAGTGCTCATCGCCTCAGAATCATTGTGGTTACAGTCATATTAATATTAATTAATGCAAATCATAGTAATGTCTCAAAATGCAAAATAATGTCTTTTGGCAGTCACTGAAAATGCTCTGTTATCTGCCACATGGAATCAATTCCACATCTCAAAAAAAGACCAAACAGCAAAATAACACCCCCTTGTTTTGCATCGTGATCACAGAGAACACAGCATGGCCGCAGAAATACAGCTTCCCCCCCTCGCAGCTTTACCTTCTCCACCCCCAGGATGGGTTTCACCGTCAGGAGGGGGCTGCACCCCAGGGTGGCACAGGGAGCCAGTCCTCGGCACTCTGTGCCGCAGGCTGAGCCTGGCAGGCACTCGGGCACAGGCACCGTTACCTTCCCCAGGGTGCCTCACCGACCGCAACCTCACCCTCACAGAACCCCACGGCCACGGGAGGTCTGTTCCAGGCATCTCCCCAGCATCAGCTTCCATGCTCTGCTCTGGAGAGCCAGCATGCTGCTGCTCCTAAAAATAGATCTAGGCACCTGCTATTGTGACTTAAACCTTACAAGCCTGCCCAGACCTTGTTGATCATTAAATCACATTAAACATCAGAGCATGCTGGGGAGCAGAGCTGTTTCCAAACTCAGTGGCAAAATAGCTCAGGGACAATGGGTGGCTGGGGCAGCTTCCATGGGACCTGTCGCTGAGCGAGGGCTGCACGAGTGGCTCCATCCAGAGCCACAGGAATTAAAAACAGTTGTTGTTATTTATGAGTGAGAAGGGGGGAAAAAAAGAAACAACAACAAAAAATACCGAAAACAAAACCAAACAAACAAACAAAAAAAAAAAACCACACCAAGAAAACCCACACAGTATAAACTCCCACGTTGGGGAAACCGCAGTTGCAGAATGACTATGAGCCGTTTGTGAGCCCTGCCCTGCCCCAAACGCGGCAAAATGAAACTGCCCACACCCCTGGGGCTCCCGGCCCTGGGCAGCTCCAGCTCCGGGGAGCACCCGCTCACTCACATCGGCTTTGCACACCGTGTGCGTCCCTACAGCCACACCGGGGCCACCGCATCTGCCCCCGAAAATCAGCACACCGCTCCGGGACCTCGCTGGCAGCAGATGCAGCTGCTGGAGAGCTTAAAAAATATCAATTTCCAGTCCAGCAGAGGCTGGAAACGGCGAGTGCCGCCGCAGCAGGAGGCGGCTGGGTGTGCCCAGGCACCTCACACGCAGCCCCACAGGAAGGGTGGGTCGGCCGGGACCGTGAGAAGATGCAGGTGCGGGCACGGGGCTGCGGCAGGTCCCTTCTTTTCCAGGGCACAGCGATTTCCAGGGACCCGGGGAGAAGGGCACCGACTCCCTTGGGGCTCCCCCGCCGCTCTCACCATGGTGTCTGAAGGAAAGCCCACGTCCTGTTCCCCCAGCCCCAGCTGCAGCGGCGGCACAGCCCCCAGGAGCCAGTGCAGCCCCCAGGAGCCAGTGCAGCCCCCCGAGAGCCAGTGCAGCCCCCCGAGAGCCAGTGCAGCCCCCCGAGAGCCGCCTCAGCCCCCCGAGAGCCGCCTCAGCCCCCCAGGAGCCAGTGCAGCCCCCCGAGAGCCGCCTCAGCCCCCCACCAGCTGGCAGAGCCCCTTTTCCCCAGTGACTCTCCAGCTCGTGGTTTTCTTTCCCCCGCACCTGCCAAAGCACAGCAAGAAGAAAGACAGAGCAAAGCCCAGCTGGCCCTGAATCCCCTGCCAAGGAGGCTCACGGCTCTGCCCCACCGCAGAAGCTCCTGGGATGCCCCCGGGCACTCCGGGCCCCAGACCCACTGCTCTCAACAGCGACCGTGGGGCAGAGCTGTCCAAGAGATGCGATTTGCCCACTATGAGCCCACATATCACAAAACTTATTTGTACAGAAGTCTATTCAAGTGCTTCCTTCGCCTTTGTAAGTAAAGAAAACCCAATCCGGCCGAGGCAGCTGTCTTGGCTTCAGCAAGGCGTGCGCTCCATCCCAGGGGACGCTGCCGAACTTGGCGCTCCAGCTGCCCTCCCACTGCCCCCGCAGTTACTCAGCATCCCCCAGCCGGTCTCGGGCAGCTCCAAGTCCGCGGGGCCACGTTCCCCTCAAAGCCCCGGGGCTGCCCCTGCCCAGTCCCAGCCGTTGCAGCCACTGCCGGACGGGGACTGTGCACAGCAGCCTTTTGCCCCAAACACCAAACACCATCACACCAAACCAGACTCGGAACAGGCATAAAACACCTCGGAGAGGAGACCTGAAGAGAGGGCAGAGGGAGAACCGTGCCGTTTTCTTCAGCTGTTTCTCTACAGATGAGCACCTCTCAGAGGGAGCAGGAGCCGGACTCGGGGTGCAGGCAGCAGCCGTGCTGCTCTGCTGAGGACAGACAAGGAAGGGATGGCTCCTGGGGGTGCCAGTGGTGCTGGGAAGCCGCCCTGGACCAGGAGGGAGCTTGCTGCACACCCCAAGGTGGCTGTAAGCATCGCTGTCTGCGTGCAGGAGCAGGCAGCAGGGACAGTAGCGAGGGAAAGGCGCAGGGCAGACACTCTTGCAGGTAACCAGGAGCCCCCCAGGAGCCCCCGGGGGGATCCCCTCGCTGCCCATCGCCCGCAGAGCTCACGAGGTTCTGCCGGAGGGCAGAAGCTGTGCCAGGCTGCCCGCGCTGGCACGGGCCGGAGGGAAGGGCTCTGCCGGCGATTGCTGCTCCCGGAGGAAGAGGAGAGCTCCTCACACGGCTCCCGGCACAGGCAGGGAGGGAGGGAGGGAGGGGAAGGCACCCACCAGCCGTAGCCGCCGAAGGAGACGCTGCGCTTCCTCTGGAACATGCTGGTGGCTCGGGGCAGCCGCGGCACGGCGGCGGCACGGCGGTGGCACGGCGGGGGCACGGCGGTGGCACGGCGCTGGCACGGCGGGGCACGGCGGGGCACGGCCCGAGCGGCGATTTCTGCGGCGCTGTGCGGGGCAGGGGGACCCCAGCACGGCCCCACAGCCGCCCCGGCGCTGCAGCGCATGCACACGCGCGCACACAAACCCCACAAAAAAGTCATTTCCTTTTCTTTTCGTGGCCGCAGGCTTTTCGCAACCTCACGCTGCAAATATCGTATTTCTCCTAATGGCAGGACCACCGGCAGTGCCGCGTGGGCAGCGGGGCTGAGCCACGGACACCGTGTCACCCACAGACATCGTGCCCTGCGCTGCCCAGCCACTAAGGCCCGATCCAGAGGGTCGCTGGTGGCAGCGTGGTGGTCTGCCTTTTCCTCCCTGGCAGTCACAGCACCAGGCTGGCTCCCTGGTAGGGGAGCCTCCAGTGCCCCTCAGGGACATCCCACTAAAGGCATCAAACCTCAGTAAGCAAAACCCCATCACTTCATCTCTCATGGCAAACAGATCCCACCATCCCAGAGCCCAGCAAGGCATCTCCCACTAGTTCCTATGCAGCTGCCTGTGGCACACAGGTTTTCCATCCTCTGGTCCCCTGGCAGCTCTGTAAGGCTGAAGTGGCATTTGCAGCCTGACTAGCACTCAAACACCCTTGTCCTTTAGCAGTCAGGCTTCAGAAATCCCACGGAAATGGAAATGCTGACATCTAGCTGGGTATGAGCTCCCATCCATCACAAATCCCCAGGAAACAGATGCTGTTCCCTGCACCTCGCTTTGAGCATTGTAGGGCACAGCAGAGATGTGGGGAGCTGAGCCCGGTTGCAGGGGTGGGCATGGTGCCAGAGGCTGAGTGTAGTGCCCAGGTGTCCTCACACCTTCCAGCTCCCCAGACCAACCACCAGCGCCCACCTGCACCACACAGAGCTGGGCTGCACCAGGGGATCACCCTCTGCCAGTCCATCTGGGGAGGAGGGGTGGGCATGCCGAGCCCCCCGTGGCAGGGGAGAGGCAGGGGGAGCTGGGCTGTGCTGGGGCCACAGCACAACACCACAGCCAGGACAGGACGAGCTGCTCAACACGCATGCTCTGCCATGCCCACGGGATCCAGGAGCCCGTGTCCCAGAGCCACTGCAGCTCAAAGGCCAGAAAGAGCCTCTGACTGCCAGATCACTCACCTCCTGCCCCAGTGATCCGAGGCAAAGCCTGGTGTGGACTCACAGCATCGCCTTGCCCTGGCAGTCCGTGCCGTGCTGGCTCCTGGGTCAGAGGCAGTTCTAGCCCAGTGTTCTCTACAAGCCCCCAAAAGCTTTAAATTGAGAGGCACTTGAATTCGATCTGATGTGTGAAAAAAAGGGGTGGAGGAGAGAGGGTATAAGGAGCTGGAGAGAGAAATCACTCAACTCCAGAGAAAAAACTTGGACTGAAATCCAGCTATTTCAACTCCTACTTTTCTGCCCACAGCCTTAAAGGGATGAAACGATGGAAATTCTTTTAAATTTAGAGCTCTTAAGGACATTATTTAAAAAAAAAAAGAAAAAAAGCTGAAGGCTTTGAAGCCATAATTCAGGTGCTACAAAATATCTGGAGCAGTCATTTGCTTGGAACACATTTGTTCCTGGCCTGCATGATCTGTGTCAAAGCTCTGCACCAACAGCAGTGTGACGTTATTCTCTCGCTTCATCTTCCCCCAGGTCATGTCTTCCTTACACTCCTCCCAGTTGGTTTCTGCCCAGCTCTACCGAGCTGCTCACAATTAAAATGTCTGAAAACAAAAGCTTTGGGTACAGCCAGGCTGTGCCGTGGATTGGAATGAGAGCCGGTGCAGCTGCTCCAGCACAGCCCTGCGTGCAGAGCTGTGGGACACGGAGTGGTAGTGGCTGTGGGAAGCACCGACCTTAGCTGCTACCACACCAGGAACAACTTGGAGAGTCCCAGAGAAATGGCCAGCTTTAGACCTTTCCCCCTGCACCATCTACTGCATCTTGCTCTGCTGCCTCGGGCCTGCGGGACCTGCGGCTGCCGGAGGTGACACGGGAGCAGGAAGGGAACAGGGACACGCTCAGCAAGGCAGGACCTGACTGCCCTGTGCCAGGACCTCAGTCAGCAGGTCATAGTCACTCCTGCAGCTCTTCCTCACGTCTGGGATCGCCATAGGGAAGTATCTCCATCTCCTGCTTCCAGGAGGGTGTGGGGCTGCCCCTGCACAAGCCCACCTCACCCCGCTCCAGCACCTGGGGGTACCTGTGGCTGGCAGTGGTGGAAGTGGAGCTCTTCCTGCTCCCCATCCCCACACAGCTGGCAGCCCCCCAGGGCCACATCAGCTACCACAGTTCCAGGCGAAGGTTAAAAATACACCAGGGAGCCAACCCCAGCTCCCCTGAGGCCATCAGCCTCCCTCGGTCCCGGGTACCACACCACAGCCTGCCCAGCACCATCTCACCCGCAGGGGCGTGCCTCCAGAAATAGTCTCTGCAATGACATTTTCTCACTTCCCCTCTTCCCCCCGAGGTATTTCACACAGGCTCAAAAACAACAAGGCAAAAAACCTTCCTACTTTCAGAGCAGGCACAAGCAAATCATAACCGAGCAGCCAAAATTAGGGAACAAAACCCTGGGGGAGGACAACTCCTCAGCACCATCTGCACCAGTCTAAATTAACATCTCCCAGGGGCCTCTGCCAGAGCCAGGATCCCATTGCTCCAGCCCAGCCTGGTGAGCTGTAGGGAGCGCTGTTATCCGTCCTTCCCAACAGCCAGCAGCTCCTGCCCACTGGAACAGTGCCGCACTGCTGGTAACACAAAGCAGGACTGCGCCCAGCAAGGGCAGCATAATTCTTCCCTTTCTTACTGGGGTAAGAGACTGATTGCCTCATTAGTGCTTTAATATCGCCTGCGGCACTCTGAGGGCATTCAGCTTCCCATTATGATTTTAAAGAAGGTTATGGGCAGGCAGAAATATTAGGTTTTGTCCTGACAGGAAGAACATGCCATGTGCATCATCAGCTTGACCTACAGAACAAAGGAAAACAGTGTCCAAATTACCTCTGACTCAGTTCATAGAATATTTTAAACACTATTTTCTCCCCTTTATGGAACTGCTGAAGTGAAAAGATAAACTCGATACCTCAAATGCAGCTTCCCACAAACCTCAGGTAGCTCTCAGGAGCTGCTTTTCACCGTTCATCTCAGCCCAGAAGGACTGAGAGGGCTCCTTCGGCTGCCACGCTGCGGAGGGGAGGCTGTGTGTCACCCGAGAGGACAGCTTCAGAGAAAGGACAGGAGAACCAGAGCCTTTCCTGAGCCCAAGGCCATGCACAGCTCAAGCTGCAAACCATGCTCCAGCTCCTCTCCCACACTCTTGAGAAAACATTGATGGCTCATGGACTCATCCCTATGTCCGAAGTGATCTGACCACTCCTGCTCATTTCTGTGGAAATGGCTGAAAATGAGATCTGGAGGAATCCATCGTGCGACCTGCAAGCATCACTTCTCAGGCAGCTAGCACAGAGGGATGCTTACACCCAGGAGTGGCAGCACCAGCTTTCCCAGCAGCCCAGGAAGCGCCCAGCACAGAGGAGAAACGCAGGAAACCAACAGGTGCTGGCTGACAACCTGGCCCCCGTGCTGGCCAGGAGCCTGTGACCCCCAAAGCCCCTCTGGTCTCTCCCATCGTCACATGAACCGGCTCTTTGCTGCAGAGGGACACAGATCATGTCTCATCACAGCCCTGTATGCAGAACTCATCACACGGGCTCCCAGGCTCATTGAATTCTTCTCAGCCCACTGAATTTAATGTACAGCGTTGTTTGTTTTCTCAAGGCCACCCATTTTAGAGTCCTGCCTTGCTAGCAAGGGCATGGAATTCCTGTCTCATGAAAAGGCATGAAAAGGCTCTCTCTAGGAAAAGCCCGTTCAAGCACAGATTTTCTGTGCCTGTTTTCTCCACCTCTTCCAACCACCTCCTTCCCATGCCAGTGGAGCCTGAGGGAGGATGCTTCAGGGAAGCAGCAGAGGCTCTCATCCTCATGCAGTCTGCCTCCCCAGGATCCAGCAGGAAGGTTGCTCCGTGCAGCCACACAATGCCCACATGGGTGCCCTGCACAGGACGCTCCAGAGACAGGGCAGGCACCACTGCTCCCCTGTGTGCCTGGTGCATCCCTGCTGCAGCCAGAGGAGCAGCTGCTGTGCCAGCTCCGGTCCCTGGGCGCTGTCACCATGGCTACCTGCACATCCACTGCACATCCCACCCCGCGCTCCCAGTCCCTGCTGCCTGCAGGAGCAGCAGCTCAGCGCTCCTTTGCCCAGTGCAGGGGCTGCTGCAAGGAGGATGCACTGGGGCAAACCTCCCACAAAAACCTGTTCCCAGTGGCAGGCTGGCACTGGCAGCTGCGCCAGGAACTGGAGAGTGTTTGGCCCAATTCACACAACAAACACGGAGCAGGGGGTGGCTGCAGCCAGTGAAGAAATCGTGGAGAGACAGAAAAAGAACAGCTTAAACTGAAAGCCAGGGCTGGGAAAATGTGGGGGCGGGATGAAAGCATGGGAATGAGAGAGACCTGAACATGCTTTGGCTGGAAATTAGGAGGTTTCTAATTTTCAATACAATCAATCTCTGGAACAGTTTCCTAATTATGGAAATAAAGGAATCAAAAATACCCCAACCCCCTCACCGAGACTCGACATTTAAGATGTTACACAAGACGGTAAAGTCTAGCGGAGGTGTCCCTGCCCATGGGAGGGGGTTTGGAACTGAGTGACCTTTACAGTCCCTTCAACCCAGACCGTTCTGTGAGTCTGTGGTGCCCACAGCAGCAGGGCACTGGGCTGCTGACCCAGCACGTGTCCTGGCACCTTCCCCTGACAAGGGCTGCTCCTCTCAGACGCCCCTGCCCTGCACCCCAGCCTCAGCAGTGACGGGGAATTGGGGGCTGCCTGAGGCTGAGCTGCGCTGGACAAGGTCAGTCCTCAGCAGCCGGGGCTCAGGTTTGAGGCCAAACCTGCGTGTGGACACTCTGAATGTTGCAAACAAGCTTCACGGGGCTCGGACTTGAGCTTTTCCAAGTCTTGATACCTCTTGCCAACATCACCTTCATTTTTCAACCATTTTGGGTGGGCTTTTCAAGAGCCGAGCTGAAACCAAGATACAGTCAAGGAACAGTCCTTCTGGCATCCAGCTTGGAGGCAGATGTTAACTCCAAGCAAGGATTCATCTACCCCCACAAAAAATGCAAAACTGTCTGTGGAGAATGAGCTGGTTTTAGCTCCTGGAAAAAATGTCTCTCCTCCTGTTGCTGCTGAAGTCCTGTTCCTGTTTCCACAGCAGCAGCAACCACCACCAGAGATCTGACCAGGTACACAGCAGGCAGCAGCAGCAGAGGGCCTCTTTGAGCAGCCCTCAGAACCCCACTACCATACAGATGTGCTTAGGGATGAAGGGAAGGAAGGATGATAAAACAAACAAGCAAAGAAAAAGGCATTTTTGCTGCTATGGTTTTCATCTCTAGTGGGAGGAACCGGCAGCAGAGGGAGAATGCAGTACCTGTGAAACATGGTGTGTGCAAGTGTGAGCCGGCTGAGCACACCTGCAATCACACCGTGCGCTGGATCTGAATTTAAACTCTTTGGCATTATTCCAAATTTCAATAAATCATGCCTTGTGGACAGATATTATGTCCCTTCTGCCACTAAAACAACAAGCAGTCTTAAATAAAACAGCAGAGCCTAGAGCATGCAGAAGACAGCAGAACCTGGCAGGATCCATCTCACAGCCTGCATTCGCCAGGGATGCAAGCAGCATCTCACACGGCCCTGAAGGCTCTGTGCAGCCCCATGCCAGACACACCGGTGCTCTGCCTGTGGGAACGAGCGGGATGAAGGGAAACGCTCAGCCTGGTGAGCAGACACTGCACCGCTTTCCTGTCAGGGATGAGCTGCAGCCTCGCACAGGGACAGCGGTGTGGAGGATCGCCCCAGCAGACTGGCGTGGGGCATGCAGGGAGGCTCAGGCGTCCCTTTGCTGTGCAAACACCTGGGGCTCCCCAGTTCCCGAGGTGCCCGGGGGAGGCAGGGCAAAGCTCCCCGCATGCCAGCGGACACCACCACCCCGACCCCCGGGGACAGCGGGCAGAGCACCGCACGGACTGCTGCAAATCGCCTCCTCGAATGGTCGATACTGTAAGAGCGGTGCTGACAGCCGCTTCACCGTCCCCCCGCACATGGGTGGCGGTCCGCCGTGCCCAGCCCTGAGCCTCCGTACAGCCCCCGGTTCCCGTACAAGCCCCTGCCCCGGCACGGCGGCTCCGAGCGCAGACGGAGGAGCCGAGAGCCGCGAACCGCCAGGAGCGCGTACGTACCGCGAGGATGGGCTGGAGCCGCGCCGTGCCCGCGCCGTGCCCGCCGCTCGCCGCCTGCCGATCCCGCCGCGCTGGCGGAGCTGGCCCCGCGCGGGGCGGGGCGGGGCGGGGGGGGGCGGGGCCGGGCCGTGCGGGGCAGGGCCGGGCCGTGCGGGGCAGGGCCGGGCCGTGCGGACCGGTCCG